AATCACTACATGACATGAAACGTCTATGTGACTGCAGTTTTTAGGGGGCGCCAAAAAAATCATCAAAAAAGCATTGCATTTTTTTTCCCAACCCAAGTCTAAAAGTCTAAAAGAAGGTGAACAAGGACACCTTGTCTTTTGCGGGACATATTCTGAAGTTCTGATTCCATGGTTATAAAATGTTCTGTCTAAACACCTTAGGTCTCTTGTGCCTGTTAACAGTACCGACCTCACCTTTATACTCTGTCAACTCACCAATCGATGGGGTCACAAAAGTGTAGCAAACATGTAGAAGACACACACGGTCGTGTGAAGGCGGCTCACAAATGTGATCAATAGGCTTCTATTAAAGCACTTAGAAGTGCGATCAGTTAGAATCGCCAGGCACCGGTGTCAGCAGAAGGTAGAGATGAGAGACAAAGAGAGGTGAAAGGACAGAGCCTGCTAATGAGAACTGGCAGGAGGCCCAATCCTTTAGTCAATCAATAGCACTCTGAAGCAAAGCACTGTGTCCCACCATCATTGATGCCTGACTGATGAAAGTCTGTATGTAACCTAAACCTTTACCAAAGCTGGAAAAGGAAAAAAACAAATGAAGGGTCCTCGTTCACCCTTCCACGATACTCAGATCTATTGGATTAAGTGATAAGGTTTTGATTTAGTGCATACATTTTGTGTAATGATTGTTTTTGAATGTTTCTGTAATGATCTCATCATAATTGCTTTTGCCCCCACGTCCTTTTTATTACACTGTTATATCTAGTTAGTCAAATGAGGTCTCCCTCAAAGTCAGGTGGTATTTACATTCCACTAATGCAGCTCAATTAGCCCAAAAACCGGCAAATATGCAAACCTCTCTCAGCCACCATTTCCGTGCTTTAACAGTATAATGTGAATACAAATGAAGCTTTAACAGAAGCAGATGATGTCAGGTACAACCTGTTAAACCCAATTAACACCTCTGTGTGACAGTTCGTCACTTGAGTAAGTGTGATCAAACATGCTATTTTATTAACGGTGCCTGAAGGATCCAGTCGATCGGCAGGAGGAAGTAAGCCTATCACACGTCAATTACAGTTATCAATGTAGATGTGGCTTAGTGAGCTAACAGAACCTGCAGTGCAAAGAGAAAAGTTGACTTTTTGACTAATTTCTGTTCATATCATTATCATGAATTAGAGTGTTAGAAGATCCTAGCATTTCTGCTTTGGGCTCTGCTAACTGCTACTCTGTTCAGAACCTACTATTGGCCGAAAAGTTTAATTTTCTGTCTTTTGTTTTTTTCTCTGAGAAATTACAGTAGAAAATTCATACACACATTCTTTACACAGCCTGTGGCTGTGATGATAAAAGAAGCTAGAAGGAGAAACTGAAGACAACTTTGACAGCGACTTTGTTCATTTAGTGTGACTCTGATGTTCTGCTTAAAAAAGAAAAAAAAAAAGAAACATTTACTATCTCATACCTCGAAACCATAAGAACCAGGAGAAATTTCAGACATGATTCACTTTGCTATTCCCACCTGTGCTTCTTTGATAGTGACATGCCAAAACATCCACAGTCAAAAAAGCATTGCATTTTTTTTCCCAACCCAAGTCTGTCTATTGAAGCATTAACAACTTCTCTGTAACAGCTGTCAAAACAAGGTTTCTTAAACCGTATGTGGGAGTAGAAGGATGTGTAGAAAGCTCTGTTATTTTGCAGTGGTTAAGGCTTTTGAGAATGCCGAAACGACAAATTCCAAGAAACAATTTTATAGTCAAATCCAACATTATGCTTCAGCTGAACACAGCTCAATGTTCCGTACCTACTTATATATTTTTACAGCTATATTGTTGGCCCGCCAACAAACAAATAAATATCACAAAAAAGATCATAAAATGTAACAATCATCTAGCTTCAATCTAGTCACAATTTAGTTTTACCTCAGTGTGAAACCTTGGCTTGTTTAGTTGAAATATAATATAAGTGCGGTACTTATATGTTCACAGGAATTAAAGAAGGACACAAAAAACGTGTGAATGTTTTGTGATCTAGGGTGTAAACCCCTACCGTTGCCTGAATATTGCAGGCCAACCAATTAAATATAATTACAAAAACAGATCTGATATTCCAAAAAAGACGTTCCTTAGTCTCTGTCAACCATCTTCATGAGGTCACTGTCTT